AGAAGTTGAGCTCAAAATGATTATACAGCAATTCCATTTCTGCTTTTCCTAGAATATGCTGATTCCAGGTTATCACAAAAACTATTTTACGTCTTTTTTAACTTCTTGAACATTTGTAATATGCACGCAAAGCAAAAATGCAGTAAAAAATTAATTTTTTTCCATATCATACACCATTCGATAAAGAATTTCAAGGCGATCAAGAATATGTGTGCCTTGAGTTTTCTCAACCAAGTCGAATGATATACTTTTTTATCTTATTCGATCACTTTCGATCACTTTCGATCAAGCAAAAAAACAAATTTCATTGCAACTTTGATTTCCGTGCATCTTATTTTTACCAAGAAAATTTTTATTTAACTATTTTTAACTTCTTACCGCGTGTATTTCACAATTCAGCATGTGATTAAAACTTCATCAGGAAATTCGTTTTCATTTTGAGATCGTTGCAAAGTCAGCATATTTAATAGCCTTTATATAAAGAAAATTGTTTAGGACTCGACGCATTTTCTAAGATAAAAAGATCACTTTTTCGATAAACAGAATGGTCAAAGAAAAAAGCTTCAACTTTGTGACAATAAAACCGTATCACATAAGAAGCATCTCTGTTTTCTCCTTTCCTGATACATGTCAGCAAATGTGTGATTGAACTCGAGTCATACGCTTCCTACTAACTCAGACTAAGGCCCGTACAGAAAACTACAAATAGCAGTGTCAGCAGCATCTGCCATAGGAAGACAGCCACATGCGCCATTCGTCGAGCATCGATCATTTTGAGAAACTCCAAAGTATATTTGAGATTTCACTCGAACTACTGTTACAATTTAATACCAGGACATTTAAAATGAAATAAGAATCAAACTTGTGAAGCTTAAATGAACGATTATTCAATGTTGGATGAATAGAAATATTAAAAAATATTACAATTACCTCAAAAGACTGAGTTTTAAACAACGAATTATCTTGTTACCAGAGCTTCCGTTGAAATGAAACAGAATCGTGGAGGTATCATGTTTTATATGTAATGCACAGATGGTGTTTTTCGTATCCTTCGTAAGTCCAAGAAGCGTACGACATAATCTCTTAATAAATAGCAATTCGATACTGCTCTGACGTTCTCCCACATACTCAATTCTTTTCTACGGAAAAGCAGTCTTGATAGAAGAAAAAAACGCGATAAGAGCAACAGACGGTTAATAATATTGAGGGTGAGGGTGAGTCAAGCACACCAAGACTGGTTTCGACTTTGCTTTAGCTCCTCCGTCCCAACCTAATTTGATTTTTAGCTTTCGATTGTCCAATCTTGCTGAAACTTTTACAGGAGGTGAATCTCGGGACAGGTACTTTACAGTAAAAAACTTCAGCTCGTTCATTGAGTCTTCCCTCAAGATACCTTAAGATTAAGGGTCAAAAGTGGGCTTCGGCGTTTCCCAAATTTCTCTGCCATTTCAAATGCTGGAGAGCTCGGGTTGGTTTTATTTTATTGGCAACAAGAGTTAGTCAATAGTTTAATAGAAAAGCATGATTATTTGGCAGGTATAGTATTATTATGATTATGATGTGTTAGTCTCTTTAATATATTATCATATGAATTTCTGCTAGTTGTAGATGTCTTGATGAAATCTATATAAAATCTATGAAGCTTCGACACCAAACCGTTGAAGTTGGTGTGTACAAATTCGAGTTCGGTGTCAGATTAAATACAAACAATTTTGTACACTATATAAGTGGTAGTAAATGGAAGTGTAAATGTAATCTTACCTATGCTTATTCGAATTAAAAATATCAAAAGAACCTTGTCAAGGCGGCCCCTTATGGAGCTAAAACGATGAAACTGCTCTATTTTTAGACAAAAATATTAGCTGAATAAATTTCTATTCACTTTTATTTTCGATTGATTTAACGTGCCAGCAAGAGTTCAAACAGTGCGTTCAGAAAAGCAAGCTCCAGCTTTATTTTAACAAAAGACCTTTTATAAGGTTCCAATTTTTAAAGTTCAAAATTTAGAATTTAAAACTCCATTATTTTTAAAAGGATGGGTTTATTCAAATTCAAAGCTATTAAATCGTGACTCCAGATGCATTTAAAGAAAGAGCACAAAAACTATAAACTACTATAAATCAAAATTCTCTTACTTTTTAGCTAAACAGTTCGATGATTCTTTTTGAAATCGTTCATCCATCAGCGTGTTAAAGAGACATATTTTTCCACAGATCTAAAACATTTTCCATGACTTGAAAAATACAAAATTTGCTAGAAAATAAGACGCTTTTCTGGTCTGTAACAATTACTAAGACATTCACTGCTGTTGTGCCGTCTATAATGCATAAAATGGAGTATATCAGTAATTGTGAAAGGTCGAAAACAATAAACCCAATAGAGATAAGCAGAACGTTGGTAAAATACAATGCATCTGGATTCTTCTAATTGGCAGCAGCATATCACTGGTTAGCGCATTAATGATGGTCATTTTTTCCAGAAGAGTAATAAAAGTAACCGTGTAACTCTTCCGATTTTTGAAGTGCTAGTTGTAGCTATTATTTTATTCTATACGATTGTATCATGTTATAAGTGTTTTAAGTCACGTTCTCAATTACCATTACCATTATGTTAGCCTCTACCATCTCTGAAAGAGATAAAAGTTGCTTCGATTTTTAAATTTATAAGATGGAGTAGAATGCTGCTTTTCAATATTCTTGTTTACCGACTTTTATGTAAGTTTAAATTCTATGAGAATATTAAAAGCACTAAAGTATAGGTTGTATTAAAGTAAGGTTTTGCAATAATTTTATATAGTGTTTATATTGTTCGTAGCGTTTGTAGTCTAATAACTTTCACAAGAAATAGGCTTATAAGATAAATAAAGATTAAATTATTTTCACGAGATGTGTTTTAGTATCTTTTGTTTGCTTACAGATGCTTTTAGGTAAAGTACCTGTGAGCTTTGTTGACATAAAGTAATCAGTTAAAGGTCTATCTCTGGTTTATATGTTCGCTGTGTAGTTGATATAGTGTCTCACTTGAATAAAAATTGTGGTTTAAATTATTTGATTATATTATTTTCTGTATATCTAAAAACTTTACTTATAAGGTTTTTGGTAATGAACATGGAAGTAAACAACACAACTAGTCTTCCTGAGAATAGCAAAGAACATGAGAGGACAAAAGAAACGGAATGTGATAAGATTTCGCCTTTAGATTATTTTTTAGTTTTTTTTTTCTTTTCTAATACTCGTGTTAATCACTCAAATAAGCGTCTTATTGAAGATGGGTATTGCATTTGATATATTAGGCGTAGTTAGTGATGGGGTCTTCATTCTGATATATTTGGGATCTTTGTTTGGCATTAGTGTAACTATGTTCAACAGCCGTAGTATTAGTGGTAATAATATTAATATTGCAGCACCAACAGCGTGGTTACTTATTTGTACAATTATTTTCATACTTGGATTTGGTGATTCATTATTTACTGCAACAAGAATTTATGATTAAATTTTTTTCGGTATTACTAATGACTCTACATCAAAGAAATGTGGATATTGTATTAGTGTATCAATAATTGAAAATTTTGTCAAATATTTTTGTCAATTATCTATATTGTTATTCATTACAATGTTTCATCCGCCTGAACCATTTAAGCAATCAAAAGTTTTTATAGCATTTCTTTCAGTTTTTTCCTTTTCTCAATGGGCTATACTGTTACTACAAGAAAACGATCAAGAACAGAAAGTACATCATTCACGTATATTACATACGGCCAACAAAAATCTAACTTCATTTGAACAAATTGAACCATTTTTATATCCGTTAGCAGCAGAATTTAGAATTACTTGTGGTATTGAATTATTAAGCATTTCAAACGGTTTATTGTGGTGGCGATTATATCAGATTCTTAAAAAATGGTGCAAGAAAATAAAGGATAAGATTCGGTGCTGTCATCACGAGTGTGAAAGGAATGATAATGAAAGGTTCTGCTGCTACCCTTCCTCATGTAGGAGCAATACAGCAGCGAACTCATGCAACAAAACCGATGATTCCTTGTCTGACAGTCAAAATTCCAACCACATTATAGCACAGGCAATTCAAAGTTCGAGTACAGGTTCAGAATGCTGCAAGAGAATAAAACATAACAGATGCTCCTGTCAAACATCAATAAATGCAGAAACAAGTCCGCTGAAGGAACCCAATATACATGAGCAGAACGTTGGTGAAATATCAAAGCTATCATCATGCACTCGGATTCTTCTAATTGGATTAAGCATTTCTTTGGTTAGCGCATTAATGGCATTCATTTTTTTCCAGGAGAGTAATAAAAGTAATCATGTAACTCTTACAGTTAGTGAAGTTTGTGAAGTACTAGTTGTAACTATTGTTTTATTCTATACGATTGTATCATGTCATAAGTGCTTTAAGTCATGTTCTCAATTACCATTACCATTATGTTATATGTATTTGCCATGTCCCAAACCATTACCATTCTGTTATAAACTTTTATTATGTTCATCACATTTACTTATTGATTTATTTTTTTTGCTACTAGCGAATTTGGCTTTGATTGTGTATTGTTGTTTTACTTTGTACGGATCTTCAAAATCTTCACCAAGACGCCTCATAGAAGGCTTAACATTCACAGCTTCATTTATACCAATAGTTCAGTCAACAGTACAATCAATTATTATTTTCTATATTTGTACGAGTCAAACAACAAGAACAAAGGAAGAAACAAGTCCGTCGCCTGAACCCGGTAGCGATGTACAGCACGGCGTCAAAACATCTAAACCAATATTACATACAGATTATATTAATATCTGGATAACACTAAGTTTTGGAATATGGTTATTTGATACGTTTAGCGCTAAAGAATATGAGACAAATGAAATTCAGATACGTTTTTACGGTGAAAGTACTTGGAAAGTTATAGGCAGCATTTTGATACCTCTGGCTATATTCTTTCGTTTTCACAGCTGTATTATGTTTCTTAAAATAAAGAGTAACAAGTATAATCATTAATAATTCGAAATCTTAATAATTCAACAAAATTGAAGTGATCATAAGACTTTCAGCCATTATTTCAAAAGTAGTGTTTATTAGTAATTTTGATTATTTATAAAAGATTTGAGTTGTTCTAAAGTTAGAAAATTTATGTATTTTACTTTGAACTGAATAAAAATTTAAACTAAAGCTGTACTTTCTTCAAAGTAAACAATGTAAATAAGAAGAGACACAAAAATACATCGTCATTCAATTCATTGTATTTATTTCAGTGTTGATATAAGAAGTGAATAGTGTTCTGGTTTTTTCGCGTAAAATAATCGCCTTGAGATGGAATAATTTTATTCGTAGCCTAGCTCTAAATCTTTTAACTTTAACTGGCTCATCAACCGATGTACTATGAACAAAAAGGAAACATGACTTTCGGTTGCATTTTGAGTATCTACAGACTGAAACAGATAGAAAGCTATGGTTTCTACAACTAAAACAAGTAAAGTAATGACCGAAGTTATTTCTAGAATAGCATTCTGTCTACAGCTTTGATTTTTATCGTTGTGTAATCAAGACTTAACTGCAATCTTTGTGTACAAAAGATGCTTTTAAAATAAGGGGCGATACTATCGCCCAAAATCGACTTTTTATACGGAGAACAGAATCGGTTCAAATTTCTTTTCTGAAGTGCTTATTATATGAATCGACGGTCAGCAAAGTATCTCTTGATTCAAATTACTTTTCGCATTTTGGCGCAAATAGTAGGGCGTTTTAAGTGGCGCCACTATTCGCATCAAAATGCGAAAAGTAATTTGAATCAAGAGATACTTTGCTGACCGTCGATTCATGTAATAAGCTCTTCAGAAAAGAAATTTGAATCGATTCTGTTCTCCGTATAAAAAGTCGATTTTGCGCTAATGGCTATACGGTGATATATGTTTCAAACGTGAAGTTTCTTTTCTCTTCATATTGATGACACAATCGCCGAATAGCTCACGAATTAAAAGAGATAAAAGTTGCTTCAATTTTTAAATTTATAAGATGGAGTGCTTTTTAGTATTCTCGTTTACCGACTTTTATGTAAGTTTAAATTCTATGAAAATACTAAAAGCATTAAAGTATAGGTTGTATTAAAGTAAGGTTTTGCAATAATTTTATATAGTGTTTATATTGTTCGTAGCGTTTGTAGTCTAATAACTTTCACAAGAAATAGGCTTATAAGATAAATAAAGATTAAATTATTTTCACGAGATGTGTTTTAGTATCTTTTGTTTGCTTACAGATGCTTTTAGGTAAAGTACCTGTGAGCTTTGTTGACATAAAGTAATCAGTTAAAAGGTTATCTCTTCATGTTGTGAAAATCGCTCGAAAAAAATCGTCGGTTAATCGCGGTTATTTTAAAAATCGATGGCACGGCGAACGCGGCTATTTCATCTGAAACCAACACAGCGTAAAAACCGACGCACAGTTAACCGGAAAAACGAACACTGAAATAAATACAATGATTTAAATGACGATGTATTTTTGTGTCTCTTCTTATTTACATTGTTTACTTTGAAGAAAGTACAGCTTTAGTTTAAATTTTTATTTAAAACAGTTCCATCAAAAACTTAAAAAAGAACTGCTGGTCTTGAAAAGCAACTCAAAACGCAGACTTCGCTTAAAACTTTTGCGGTAGAATGAATTAGTGATGAATATGATTGAGACCATTATTATTTGCTTGAAGTTTTTTCTGCAGTTCTGTATTACAATTGTTTTTCTTGAAAAGAAATAATGCTTCTTCTGTAAATAGATTTTTTCATAGATGTCCAAGTATCATTATCTAGATAATGCCTGTATAACGATGCGTGTTCTTTACATCTATGGCACCAAAAACACAGAAAATAACAATGGAGGTAACAGTATGAGAGTGAGTCACGAGACAGTTTCTAATATCCCGGATTTTCTTAAATTCTTATTTCCTTAAATTCTTATTTTCTTATTTCCCCTATTTTCTTAAATTCTTACTTTCTTAAATCCTCACATTCTTATTTTCTTGTGTGCAANCTTAAATTCTTATTTCCTTAAATTCTTATTTTCTTATTTCCCCTATTTTCTTAAATTCTTACTTTCTTAAATCCTCACATTCTTATTTTCTTGTGTGCAATATTAACACCGAAAATAACAATGGAGGTAGCAGTATGAGAATGAGTCACAAGACAGTTTCTAATATCCCGGATTTTCTTAAATTCTTATTTCCTTAAATTCTTATTTTCTTATTTCCCCTATTTTCTTAAATTCTTACTTTCTTAAATCCTCACATTCTTATTTTCTTGTGTGCAATATTAACACCGAAAATAACAATGGAGGGGGTGGGGGGGTAGCATTATGAGGGCGTGAATCTCACGAGACAGTTTCTTATTTCCCCGGTTTTCTTAAATTCTTATTTTCTTAACACATGTCGTTATATAGGCATTATCTAGATAACGATAATTGGACAGCTCTCAACATTTTAATTGAAGAAAAAATGTAATTTAGTCTTATATATGTAAGACCCTTAGGCACTTCTTAGAATTATCTCACTATAGTAACATCTTATAAACTGTTATAAGATCTTATTTTTTAAGATCTTGATAAGATAATGTAAGATCTTAATTAACCCTTTACACTGTTGATCTATAGAAGCTGACGGAAAACTAACTAGTAGAATAAAGCAATTCGTAGTACAATATGTCAATTTCAAAGTTGAATCGAATCAAAGTTGCACCAATGCTGAGCAATACGCTGGATCATCCATGACCCATTGGCAGCAAACAACATGAAAAAAGTACAAAAAAAGCACTCTTTTACACTTAATATGCTATTTTAAGTAATAAAGTTATTTTATAGCAAACATATTTTTATTAGCAATTAAAAATAATTACCATACAATTAAATTTATTTTTTCTAGGTTATTGTTTAGTGTGAAAAGCTACGAAACAGTTATGTGGTGGATGAATGCATAAATGTAGTTCACATTTAGAACATGTCCATTGTGCTTTTAACTCGCATTTTTTATATTTACACCCTAATCTTGATTGTACAATTTTTTGCCAAAGTTCATTACATATCGTCTCTCATTTTTTTGTATATTAAGTTACTCCCTCTTTCTGTGTTCAATATCTCTCTCTCATTCTTAATATTACCATCACTCGCATTTTGGCTTCTGAACTATATATATCGTTGTACAGCATTTACATTGGAATCTATGATATAATAAATTCAGTAAATGATAGAATTTCTTTTTTTTGTTTTTGGGGATCTTTTAGTTGACGGTTTTAAATATATTACATTTTCATGTCGTTCGCAACCAATGGGCTATGGATGACCCATTTACTTGTAAGTACTTTTCAGAAAATTCGGACATCATAAGAAAAGCCCGTTCTATTCTGCCTGGAAAGGTAACGCTCTACTAAACATTAATCGACAATAACATGTTTCCGACACGTTCTTGAATAAAAACTAAAACCTGAAAAGAATTTTTTTTCAACTTTTTCATTTTTTTGAAAAATATTTATTTTGTGATTGAAATGTCTTTACCAAAAATTTATGGAAAAGAAAATCTATTTTTATCAATCGATAGCTTATGGGCTTATCTTGCTCTCAAAATCACTCCATTTTTATCACGTGCTTCATTATCCTTTTACAACAATTTTACACAATGGGTCATGGGTGACCCCTAGGTAGGTAAAGGGTTAAGATCTGAATAAGACTGGATTACTATAATTTCATTCACTCTTTGGTTTTGCTCTCATACATTTATGTAAATAACACTGAAAACAGAATTGACTATTAAAAATAACAACGTCGTCGTCCTTCCAGGTTTTGCTCGTAGTGGTTCTCACAAGGGTATCCAGCATCTATGCTGAGAGTTTGCACTACAAATGAGAGCTCAGTGCTGGAAGCTAGAGAATTTGAATCTCTCTTTGTTATTTTCATGAGATTTCTAAAAAATCTGAATGAATCTCCTTAAGAGTTGCGATAGCTTTTAATAAATTTTCTCAGTAGTGGAACAAGAAAGAGAAACGCTCGTTTTCACAAGGTAACATGACAAGCCTGAGAAAAACCCACTTAGAACGTAACTCCAGAAACCTCGTAAAAGTTCGATGCTTTTCTTTCGGTTTTGACTGCTTGAGAACGATCTGCTGTCCGTTATTAGCAGAATTAAATGTTCTAAAAGAACTGTTCCACGTAATTAACTGATTATTAAAAGTATGTGTTTCTTCGTTGAAAATATATGTTACAGTGGAAATTAAAATGTCAATCTTCACTAGTGGAATTTAAAATTTCAATTTCTACTGAGAAGAATCCAGTGAAAATTGAAATTTTAAGTTCAACTAGTGGAGAATAAAATTTTAATCTCCACTGTAGTGGGATTTTAAATTCCACTAGGCAAAAATGACTAACACTCATATTTCAATCTCCACTATAATGGAAATCAAAATAGTAAAAGAAAGGAAAAGAAAGAAATATTTATAGATTTAGGTAGTATAGAAGTTCACACAGTTAGTTATAAGTCATAATGGAGATATTTTATGAAAAACTGGATGCGTACATACTCAAATTAAATGAAAAATTTCGTGATAAATATCTAATCAAGCAGGATATGTACGTTGATATTATTCTGACATTACGTGATGGTTGGGGCACTGCATAATTCAAGTTTTGTGTAAACGAGCATTTCAAGTTGGTAAAAATTGGTAAAACGAATGTGGTTTATGGTATGAAAGTTAATCAACCTGTTGTTACATATGAACAACTGTTCAGAAAAGTCAAAGAATACCATGAACGTGTTGGACATTTCGGGCGTGATAAAACTATTTAAATCGATTGCAATAAACGTTGTACAAAATGTCACCCCCAAAAAAAGTGTGTGTGTTCAAACGCTTAATGCTGTTAAAAAAATATTTGTGATTGTTAATAATATTTTCAATAAAAAGATGGTATTACCTTTACTATCAGCATCATGTCAGTCAAATTATAATTTTCACTATAGTGCAGATTGAAAT